CTTAAATTGTTGGTTACTGTTAAATCCTGGAGGATAAGTTGGTCTATAGTTAGTACTGCTTTGGTTGTTCCAGCTACCCAATGGGTTCACTTGATTGTTCCTTCATTGTTGGTTAGCACCACCAGAATTATTATTCTAGTTAAAGTTATAGTGGTTTTTCAAATCTGGGTTGTAACAATTAGAATAGGGGTGATTAGGTTTATTGTTAATTGCATTTAAATTCTTAAATGTAGGAATGTTAAAATCAATCGTTTGTCCTAATGAATTTTCTTCAATCGCTGGAGGTGTTTGAGATAAATTCATTCTAAATTGATCTATTTTTATTGATATAACAACTACTTGAGATGCTAACATAGAAATAACATCAAAATCATAAACACTAACTATTCTTTTAGGATTTACCTTTTTAGAATGCCATTAAATATTATTAGTAGTCATTTCTTCAATTAAAGAATATGCTTCATCAAAAAGTTTTAAAATTAATGAACCACTGGTAGCAACGTCGATAATAGATCTAAGAGATCCTACTAATAATAGATCTAAGAGATCCTACAGAGATCCTACAAATCCATTATAAAAAGTTTGAATTATTAACTAATCAGATAAAGAACGATATGGACACTTCCTAAGAAGTTCTTTAAAGCGTTCTCAAATCTCGTATATTGATTCTTCTTCAAACCGACAAAAAAATATAATATCATTTCTAAGCTTAGCATTCTTTGAAGGCCAAAAATACTTAGCCGAGAATTTATGTTCTAGGTTACTCCAGGTTATAATAGATTCAGGTCTTAATGAGTTCAACCACATTTTAGCTTTATCTCTTAAGAAAAAAATAAAAAAACCTAAGTCTAACAACATCGTTAGAGACACCGGTATACTCAAATGTGGCACAATGTTCTAAAAAACTTACAAGACGTTTGAATTAAAGTTGACTTAAATTTTAGTTTATGTCCTAACTAATCAAAGCTACGTCCAACAATCGAATGACATGAGGAAGGGGTCCTTAGTCCATATGAGATTGGGTATAAGCCAAGGGGAAGTGTTGACTTAAAATGTGGTCCACATTATCACAAAATTCTTTTGTATTTACATATCTAAAACTTAAACTTCACCGTTTTTACATATACACTACCTTACCTATACATGAAAATATGTATTTAACTTTTAAAAGTTAAAATAGAGATATTTTTTATGTGACACAAAAGTTTAGGGTGGAATAAATGTCAAAAAGCAATATTTAAGCGTTAGATATAGAAATGCATAAGAATTTGGTGGATGTATGTAAAGCCACTTTTTTTGTACTGAAAATTCAGTCATTCATTTTGCATGAATGAAATTGATAAATCAATTTGATTCATTAAACAAAGCTTATTAATCATCTTGTTGCTCAAAATTTGTTTTGATCACTTGTTTGACAGTTTTTTATGAACAATTTGTAGTTACTTCTTTTAGCAAATATAAATTTTTGCAGGTAGTGTTGTTCTTGGAGAGCAGACAAAAGCTTGCTACTAAATGTTTAGGGAGTTGCACTTCTTGTTTTAAAATATAACTTTTAAACATTCTTACTTAATCATTGTGGATTAAAAATTTTTTGTATCCAAATTTAAATATATTGGAACATGTTGGGATAAGTACCCACAATAAATTTATATTTTTTTAATTTACATTCAATTCATTTCCCTCTTACAACAGTAATTTATTTACATGTCTTATTGAGAAATTTCATGATTTGACACTTAAGGGCTATGATCAAATACTTTACTCTATTTGAAATTTTTTGCAACTATTCCATTTGATAATAAAAAATGAATTATTGTAGATCAAAACATATTGATTTGAGTTTGAACAAAATGACTCTCAAAAGTATTAAATTTATTTTAAAATAAGTATAATTCATAAAAGTTAAATAATTACTAGACTAACAACTAGAATTTTTACACAATGAAAATCAATTAACATTTTATTCAAATAAAAAAACATGTTAGAATATATTATTATATCAGTTAATTTCTTGGTTGTTTTCACTAATATTCTAGGATTCAACAAAATTTTCATCCATGCAAAAATTTTAAATGCTATTAAATATCAATTTTTCTCAGTAGTGATCCTCCTGAAGATGATTGAGATGCTACCTAAAAATAGTTTAGGGAGATGGGTTTCTGGTTTTTAAATATAACTTTAAAGCTTTCTTTCTTAAATCATGATGGCATAAGAAGTTTTTTTCTTGTCTATGGAATAATTAGGGGGGCATAGGGGGGACATGTGTCCTCACTTATTTTGTATTTTCCATGATAGATATTCCATTTATGCCCCTTGTTTAAAAATTATTAATTTTTTAGGCTATATTAAAAAAAAGCATGACACACTTATTGGCCCAAGATCAAACTTTTAAAATTATTCTAGTTTATGTCAAATTTTTTACTTTAGTTCCATTTGAAAATATAAAACAAAATATTTTGAGTAAAAGTTTTTGTTTTAAAGTTTGAGTAGATTAGTCTCAAATTTTTTTAATTTTAATAAAATAAATATAATATATTATTATAGCGGCGCAAAATTGTGAATTATTTTACAAAGTAAAAAAAAGTCAAATTTTTGAATAAAAATATGTTACAATATCAAGATAGATACGCCACCAACAAATTTCCGTTATCTAACACGTATCTCGAGGAGTGACACGGATCTTGAGATAATATTTTGAGCAAAAGATGTTTAAATCTTGATAAAAACTCATCTAGAGATCCGATTTCAGCAATTTTTTAATCAAATTGACTGACTCGATGAGACTGATCAATGATATCAAATTCTTTCCAATCCGAGTCAAAGAAGTCCAGATCAAGTCATTAAACCATTCTTGAAAGATTTTTGGACACATTTGGAAGGTCAAACTGTTGTGGAGTTCTGCAAGTTTATTGTCAAATCGAGCGTCTTGACAAGACAAATCCAACGAGCCCAAGATTGTGCAATTCTGACATCGTTAAGGCACTCAAATGCGTTAAGGCATTAAGGCACTCAAATGTCCATTAAACGTCGTTTGGTCGGAGGAAACTCTCCAGAGTGTCTGATTAAAATGAATTATATTCATGCATTAATAACACCCAGAACACTATAAATAGAGCCCCGCCCCTCACATGAGGGGAGATTGGAAACTTCAGTTCCTGACTTCAACCCCGCGACATATGGAAGTCATTCATACTCACTCCTACGACCTATGTGGTTCATAACTCATGCAGCTCACAACTTCAGGGCCCATGACCTACAAAAAGTCATTTATATTCGCCTTTACAACCTATGTGGTTGCCTTGTCAGCCAACAAATGTCATTCATGCTCGCCACTACGACCTATGTGGTCCAAAGCTCCCGTAATTGCTTACTACTGAACACTTCTGGAGCAAACATCTACATCACTCATGATGAACAACTACCTCACAACAATCAACAATGACCCTTGCAATATGCTGCCACAAAAAAACTATAGCCATATTATAGTTATACAACTTTGTAATTCAATTGTAATTCAATTTTTCCTGTAGGAGAAGAATGGATCTGTGTATTCATCATCATATTGAATTATTTTAACTGGACTAAGTCCCGTGGTTTTTCCCCCTTTCAAGGGTTTTCCACATAAGAAGTTGAGGCGTCTCTTTCTGCTTACTTCTCTTCTATTATCTGTGTGTATTGAATTCTTGTGCAACGCTAAGACTATAATCCATTACTCTACCGCTGTGAATTTTCTGGCACGCATGAAAGATATATATTTGTGTAAGATGGATTTAAAAATCATTGTATTTGTTTTGAGATTAATATAATATAATTTCTTGTTATGTATAATTCTAAAATCAAATTAGTATTATTAGCTCATCTTTCTATTATAATTGTTTTCACAGATTTTTCCATTATTTTTTGACGCGTACTATAGAAATAAGTTTACAAAATCCTACATAGATTGATAGAATGACATTAAAAGATAGTACTTTTAAGGATTTGATATTATGATAAAAAGCCTATAATTTATTCTTGAGTACCATTTGTGACAACTTTGCCAAGACAACACTTTAGCTGACAAATCCATTAAAATTTTCCTTCAAATATTCATATTTTTCTCTTGAGAACCCTTATGTTAACTTTACCATGAAAGCACTTTATTTCACAAATATAGTAAAATTTCTTATTCTATTATATTGATGTACATTTTGGATAAAATTTTTCCTAAAATATCTATCATAATGTATTAAAAATGTTCTTATGAACCCAGAAATTTGACCAAAGAGCCTAAATAATTATTCCTAAAACACTACTTGATTGCCAAATTTGTCTTTCTTACGTGAGCCAAGATGAGAGCCTAGAAATTATAATGTTCTTAAATAAACATATGCAATATATAAATTCAAGTAAACTCATTAATAAAAAAATTACATATATAAAAATATTCATAAAATCATATTTACTCATTCAATTCAATGATGATATTAATAATATAATCAACATGAATTACATAATTATTAATTTTATAAATAAAATAAAATTTTAAGATCTAACTAATTCACTTAAGCCTAATAGTCATATGATCAATAAATTATGCATGAACACTAATAAATATTATTAAATATTTTTTTTAATCTAATAAATAAGGCATAGTTGAATCAAAATAAAAAAAAGGCAATTAAATTTTTAGAAATAATATAGTGACATCCTAAAAACTCTATAATATATTCTAAATAATTATTAATAAATTATAATAAAATTTAATCATGTAATCTTAATAGAGTAGATAAGGCATATTCAATTAAACTACAACTAAATTTAACTAACAGTAAACTACAAAACCTGTCATTTTTTTTGAAGTTATTTAACGCCAGATTCATGGAGTCAATTGTGGTAAATCGCCCACATTAGAAGAACTCGCCGCACTAATTGCTTTCAATTGCCATTCGACAGGTGTCAAATTATAGCGAGAGATCCAGTTGGCAAAATTATGGGGGAGGGAATTTGCAAGGGTGTATCCGAGTTGCCGTGTATGCCAAGTGCCGAAAAATGCAAAATGCTATCGTGCGATCACCTCGCATATATTCGGAAGGATCCGACCTTCGAATTTCGATCGAGACGCGAGGTCGGAAATGGAGATGAGGGGAAACTTTCTGAACTTTGCGTGGGCGGTGCATTCCTTCCGTTGAAAGATATCTCAGTTTTGCCAGATTTATTTGTTTTTTTCTGCCACCACGCTTTCGTCAGATATCAGAAAGTTGGGAATTGGAAGGAAGGAAGGCGCCAGTTATTTTTTGACATCTCAGGTTGTCTCCCGTTGCGATGTTTCGTCCTCTTCTTTGATTGATTTGCGGAAGCATTTATGTTACATTCGATTACTTGTTTTGTGATTTTTGACGCGGAGACGGTGCTTTTCTAGCTCATCCGACCAGGTTGGGATAAACGTCTGTTCTGATTCCTGAAAATCGAGTTTTATTCTTAATCGAGGATTTTTTTAGTCTGTTTCTGATTCAGAAATGGGTAAGCCTACAGCAAAAAAGAAGAAAAAATCGTCAAGCATCAAGTCTAATGATGAAAATCCCAAGAGAAGTAGGTCTGCCTTGCACAACCCAAAGGCGTTTGATGAGGACACGACAATCTTTATGGACATGGCTAATGATATGAAGGAAGAAGGAAATAAGCTATTTCAAAAAAGGGACTATGATGGTGCTTTGGTGAAGTATGAGAAAGCCATCAAGCTTCTTCCTAAGAACCATGTAGACGTTGCTTACCTCCACAGCAATTTAGCTGCTTGTTATATGCAGATGGGGCCGGAGGAGTACCACAAAGCCATCCATGAATGTAACTTGGCGCTCGAGGTCTCCCCAAAATATACGAAGGCCCTGCTGAAGAGGGCTAGGTGCTTTGAAGCCTTGAACAGGTTGGAATTGGCGTACAAAGATGTTGATACTGTCTTGAGTTTGGAGCCAAACAATCTCACGGCCTTGGAGGTCTCCGACAAAGTTAAGAAAGCAATTGAAGTAAAAGGGATCCAGTTGAACGAAAAGGAAGTCATTTCTCCCACTGAGATTACACCGCCCAGGCAGAAGCACAAAAAGAAGAAAAGCAACAAAACCGTAGATAAGGTGGTTGTGGTGGAGAAGGCCCTTTTGGAGAAGCCTATTTCAGTAGAACCTGTAGCAGAGAAGCCTATTGTTGTTAAAGAAGAACCTTTGAAGACAGTGAAATTAATATTTGGAGAGGATATAAGGTTTGCTCAGATGCCTGGCAGCTGTAGCATATCACAGTTGAGAGAGATTGTCCGGAACAGGTTTCCAAGCTTAAAGGCAGTTCTCATCAAATATAAGGACAAGGAAGGTGATTTAGTCACAATAACTACATCCGAGGAACTAAGGTGGGCAGAAGAGTCTGCAGATCCACAAGGTTCACTTAGGCTTTATGTCAATGAAGTTAAACCAGAGCATGAGCCTTTATTTGATGATGGCAATAAAAATGGTGAAATGATAGTTTCTGAGAAAAACTTTAATGGAGTTCACAGTAACGGGAGTTTAGGAAATGCTGAGGAACAAGGTAATTCCTGCTTATGGAATTTGCTCAGTTGTTTAAGAACCATGTTGGTATCGATTCCGATGCATATTTGGACCTTCATCAGCTCGGAATGAAACTCTACGCTGAAGCAATAGAGGATACTGTTACGAGTGAAGAAGCCATGGAAGTCTTTGAAGTTGCTTTAGCGAAATTTCAGGAGATGGCAGCTCTGGCATTGTTTAACTTGGGCAATGTTCATATGTCTCGAGCAAGGAAGCGATTATTCTTAACTGAAAATGATTCAAAAGATGCGGCATTGGAAAAGGTCAAATCTGCATATGAATGGGCTAAGGGAGAGTACAAGAAAGCTGAATCAAGTTATGAAGAAGCTATGAAGATAAAACCAGACTTTTATGAAGGTTTCCTTGGTCTTGCACTTCAGCAATTTGAGCAAGCAAAACTCACTTGGTACTTTGCAGTTGGAAACATGATAGATTTGGACAGCTGGCCTTCGAAAGAGGTATTACTGCTTTTTAACAATGCCGAGGACAATATGGAGAGGGGCACAGAGGTATGGGAAGAGATGGAGGAGCAGCGACGGAAGGATAGGTTAAAACCCAACAAAGAGAAGGTGATATTGGAGAAATTGGGCCTTGAACGATTTTTCAAGCAATTATCAACTGATGACATGGCAGAGATCTCCTCAAACATGAGGTCTCAACTGAATATACACGGGGGCAGAATTCTGTATGAACGGTCAATTGTGGAATTCAAACTAAAACTTCCAACATGGGAGGAATGTTTGATGGCTGCTATTGAAAAATTCAAGCTTGCAGGGGCCTCTTCAACAGATGTTGCTGTTATGATAAAAAACCATTGTGCCAATGAAACCACCCTAGAAGGTAAAGAAATGGCTGTTCATGTTCTTGCTTTCAGATTGTTTTTTTTCCATGTATAGAATCAATAGAAGATTATTTTGTTGAGGATATATTCTGGCCGTGATGTAGGCTATCAATATAAACCTACAAAGATTTAATATATGCAACATCACTGGCTTATATCTCTCTAGTGAAAGTGTGCCAATTAAGCTATTGAAGATAACGTGCAACTTGTCCACTGATGAGAAATGTTTGTTCATGTCGTTTAATAAAGCTGATTTCATGGATTTTTTTTGATTGATTTTAAGACTGTAAAATGAAGTGCAATAAGCTCTGCATGTTTATACTTCCAAATAAGCTTTTAATGTTTCTGAAAATCTGGTGTAGAGCTTATTAATGATCTTTCACTGTAGTTTGTAAACAAATTAATTTAGTTTTTTTTTTTCTTGTAACAAATTCTGGGACTCTATCCTAATTCATGCAGGAGAAAGATTAAAAATATTACATAAGTTTTAATCGTATGCTTATGTAGAGCAATTTTGAAATCACTTGATTATAATACTTTGACTGCTTTCTGCCTTTTCCTAAATACTCCTTTCTGAATTTAGTTTGGAATCTTCATTACTAGCTGCTAACTCACCATGTCAATTAGTATGGCAATCCATTAGCTTTTGACATGCTATGATCCTATCCTCACTTCCAACTCTCATTTTTATTCTGTTTATACCAGCCCGACGAGGGAAAGCCAGATTGTCACTTCAATTCCCATGACAAGCCTGGAATGTCAAAGCTTTTATCATGACTTGATTTTTGCGGCAAAAAAATATGAGCTTTTATTTATTTATTTTTTTTCAGAAGGCCATTTATCAATGGGAATTAGAGTTATTTAAGTGATTTTTTAAAGATTATGTCATATTTATATTTGTTTCACTTTTCCTGATATAGCTTATGTTGATATTAGGTTATAAAGTATAACTTACGACTGTGGTTTAATTCTGCAAATTACTTACTGTTGATAAGAAAATCATATAAAATGATCTAATAGTAATGTACATAGACATAGCAGTCATCTACTCATTTTTTTGAAAGTACTCAGACGACATGGTATTAACTAACCATAGGTTTTATATGAAGATTCCCCATTTTTTTATTAGATTTATAATAAATTACTATTGATATCTTATTTCGCTTCCTTATGTCTGAGTTTGAATCGAAAAGGCTTTTGCCACTTTGCTGAAACTTTACCTTCGTTGTGTTTAAGGTCTGGGGTTCAAGATTGATGAGATAGTTCAAGCTTGGAATGAAATGTATGAAGCTAAAAGATGGATGAGTGCTGTTACATCTTCGCGTTTAGAACCATTATTTCGGCGGAGGACTCCTAAATTGCATCACTCATTGGAGCATGCCTGATGGATTAAGCGCTCCAACTTGTAAGCAGGCTTCAGAAAATAGCACACTGGGGTATTGGTTTTTCTTGGCTTCAGGGTATGAAGTGCATCATGATATAGATAATTGTGTTCTTTTTGGCTTAATGTTCACACTTACTTTTAAATTAAAATAAAGAACAAGAGCAATGGTTTTGTTCTCCATTGTGTGGTAGATGTGGGAAATTACAAAAATGTCCTATTCTATAAACTGATATGGCTACATATATCAATCTCCGTATTGACAGTAACCTCATGTCTTTGATACACCATATTAATACTCAATTATATGTTTATGCTAGCAATTACATGAATCATTTTTTTTGCTAGGGTTTGTCCCTTTCGAAAATGCGATTCTTCTTTTGCTATTGCTTTATTTTCTGTTTACGTTTGCCTGGAAGGTTACCGTATTGATATGCACCTAGAAAGCTCAAATAGTTCAATTTTAAATGATCAGTTTTGCCTCTTTTTATTAGTCAACTAGAGTGTGCTGGCTTCTTAAGAAAAGCTGCTTTTACGAATTAACTTGTTACATGTCAATGTAACTGCTTTTACCTTTTCAGCTGAATTCTTACATTTCATGAGGTGTGATAGCCTGCAATGTGGTGTATGGTTTTATTTGTATATAATTGATGATCAACTCCACTTAATTTGCCTAACGGGTTACTTGGGAAATTATGTACAACAACAACAACAACAAGCTTTTATCCCACTAAATTTGGTTGGCTACATGAATCCTTTTTCTCCATTGCATCCTATTGAGTGTCATTGTTTCATTTAATTCAAATAAAATAAGATAATTTAATACAACATGCCCAAGTCTTTTTAGGTCTACCTCTGCTTTCCTTCACAAAACTCGCATCTAAAACATTTACTTTCTAACCAGATGATCAGATGACCACATTTAATGTGACCAAACCATGTAACAAGACTCTCTCTGGTCATATCCGCCACTGGAGCTACACCAATCTTATCACGGATATATTCATTTTGCATTGTCTCTAAGTGTCAAGCCACTCATCCACCTATGCATTCTCATCTCAGCAATGCTTAACTTCGTTTTATGCTTTCTCTTTTAAAGGCCAACATTCTGCATCACAGATCATTGCAGGTCTCACCACCATCAGATAAAACTTTCCTTTCAGTCTAAGCGGTACTTTTCAAAAACACAGTAGGACCTATGCATTCCTCCACTTTAACCAACCAACTTGAATTCTACTAATAACAACCTCATCTACATCCCCGTTACTTTGAACAATAGACCTGAAATATCTAAAATGTACACACCTTGCAATGATTTGATCACCCATAGTTACAACTCAGCCACTAGGGCTACTACGACTACTAAAATTGCATTCCATGTATTCAGTTTTAGTTTTACTCAAACGAAGGCCTTTAGTCTCCAATGTAGACCTCCATAATTGAAGTTGTTCCTGAACTCTTTCTCTAGTCTTATCCACAAGAAGGAGATCATCAGTGAAAAGTGTACACCAAGATACATCCTCCTATAAATGTCCAGTAAGAGAAACCATAACAAAGCAAAAGGAGACGGGCTTAATGCTGATCCCTGATGTAATCCAAGTGAAATAGAAAAATACTTGGCCAATCCACCTGTTCAAACACAACAACTCTAGTATACATATCTTAAATGACTTGAATATAAGTCATATTAATACCTTTCTTCTCTAAAACTCTCCAAAAAAACATCACTTGGAACCTTATTGTAAGCTTTTTCTAAATCAATAGAAATGCTATGTAGATCCTTCTTATTCTTTTTGTACTTCTCCATCAAACCTCTTAATAAATGTAATAACTGTAATAATTGTATAGCTTCCATGGTAACTCGCCCGACATAAATCCAAATTTCAATCCCTTGGATTGAATTGTGATACACTTATCAGTGAAACCACTTGAGACTATCTACTCTCTTTGGAAACTTCTACTTGTACTTAGAAGCCTCAAATGGGAACATAGTGAATTCAGATCAAGTTTTCCATCAATCAAATAATGAGCCAAACCTAGTTCAAATCGATATTTAATTTAGTCTAATTTTGGGATCGACCTTGTTTGTGAATGGATCAACAATTATGTATTTATATGTATGAATGCATGTACACATGTGCTTATGTATATAGTTAGATGTGATGAATCTATATATGCTTCATTAGTTATATATATGTATATATATATATATATGTATATATATATATATATATATATTCGCGTACGTGCAGCTTGCTCGTTGTCGTCTCTCCAGTCGAAGTCGATCTCTCGCAGTTGTCTCCCATAGTCGACGATGATCGCTCCAGCCGACGATGTCTGACTCCCATAGACGATGACATTATCTCCTTCTCCCATAGTCGACGACATTTCTCTCCTTCGCAGACGTCACCTCGCTCGCTCCAGACGACGCGACGGTCCAAAGTCTGCTCGCAAACTCCTTGTGATTTGGCAGCCGCTCTTTTCTGATCGTGGCCATCTTGTCAGTGGAGATGGCCTTGATGCTCCGTTCTTATGCAACTACCCTTACCGACGACTTTCTATTCCTGCTCGTGCCCCTCTTTTAGGTTCAGAGTCTGGTTTTGGTATCGGTGAGTCCTGCAATGTTCCACAATTCTTCCATGAGGCTCTTGAAGGCGGTGGGATCACACTTTCATTAAAAAATTTGGTAGAAAAATTGGAAGTCTGCTCTTATTCTCACTGAGGTTGAAATCAGTACTCTTGTGTCTTCTTGGCGTTTTATTATAGTGGGGAAATTTCTTTATGATCACCTAAAACTTGAGATCATTCAGAAAGATTTTGATGCTATGAAGCTATTGTGCAGTTGGAATATTGGCTTACTTGATGACAAACATATACTTATTCAATTATCTCACGATGCGGATTACACTCATATTTTTTCTCGTAAAGTTATAGAGAGAGAACCAGTTTATGAAAATTCTGAAGTGAACTATCGATTTTGATCCAAAAGCGGAGTCCCCTATCATTCATGTTTGGATAAAGTTTCTGGAGTTAAAACTACAGCTGTTTAACTTGAAAATTCTCTACTCCTTAGCAACTGCTTACGGTAAGTCTCTAAAAGTTGATAGTCATACTCTAGCTGTCACCAAACCCTTTGTGGTTTGTGTGTTAGTTGAGAGAGATATCACTCAACCAGCTTCGGATGAGATATGGATTGAAATCACTCACAACTGGTATTGGCAAAATATTGAAATAGAATCACTCCCTCCTTATTGCTCTCATTTTAGTATGTTTGGCCACAATTCTACCATCTGCTATCTATTGCATACTCATTTAAGGCTGGATATTGCTAAAGATCAATAACCTGTTCAAAAATCTTTTCATACTGGATTAGGGGTTGACGTCTTGCCATCTATCATCCCTGTTGAGAAGGTGCAGCTCGACCCTCCTTCCAACACCGCAGTTCCTGATGAAGAACACCATACCCAACCCATTCTACCCATGGATGCTCTTACTCTTGAACAATCTATCCCAACTGCTTGTTTGGAGCATGGTACTTTGGAGTTCCATGAAGTATCTCCCCATACTATAAGTATAGATTCAAACGTTTCTATACCACTCACTGTTATTGAAGGAGACTCACTTACATGCCAAGACACACGAGAGTGTTCCTTTGATCCAATAAAAGATTAGCTGATACAAAAAGTAGTTGTTTCTAATGTTCAACAACTAATGTTCAACAACCATGTTCAACAACCTACACATGTCCGACACGCTTTAGATTAATCCACTGATCAGGTGAGTCAGTCTTCGGATGAGGAATGTCAGATCTATTTCAAGAGGAAGAAGAATGGAGGCCGACTCGAGCTTAGGAACTTATTGAACGATACATTGGTTACTACTGGTAATGACACTCACCTTACCAATTTGTTAGCTGACTTCTTTCCTAGAACTAGAGGCAGAGGTAGGACAAAATTGGGTAGCTCTCTAGCTACTTGATACTATGTGTTTTGGCATTTTTTGTTTTTTTGGGCTCTTATGTATTTTTCTGTATTTTCTTTTTTTTTTTTGGAACCATTTGCATGTGGTGTTTTTCGTGTGGGTAGGGTGCATGCTTGGGCCCTCTCACACAATCTATTTGTATCATTCTTTCTTTTTAATATATTAGCCCTTGAGCTTTCTCAATATATATATATATATGGATTCATCAATGGGTTGGTGGGCGAGTGGGCATTAATTTAAGAATTTTCATTAAGAGGCTGAAAACTGCTTGGCTTGAATTGCAATTTGATTGAGCCAACCAAAAACAAAATTTGACTTGAATCGATATTGGATTAAAAGGCTATGAACCTTTCTTGATTTAGGGTTATAATTGCTAAAGTTCAAACCATTAATAGCCTTATAGGAGGTGGATAAGTCAAGCTACTGATTGCAAGAAGAAACTTGTTTATAGCAATTGCAAAGGAAGCTACATAAGTGTCATTGAAATGATGATCCTCAATAGGGGTGGAGCCAAATGGTGGCTAGGGGAGGCACTGGCCATCTCTAGATTTTTAATAAACTCCCTATTATCATATATTACACAAAAAAAATTTGCCCCATAAACTTAAACACTTAGTAATTATTTAATATGAACTTTAATTTTAATTTAATACTATATTTATAATGGTTTTAAAATTTTTTAAAGAAATGAAAGCTTTAATCTTAAATACTCGTCATCTGTTAATTTTTATTTATCACCCTTCTCGATGAGATCTGATTCCACAATTGATCCTCAAGGTATGTTGGGTTAGGATGAATGCAAGGGTCCATTGGTGTTGAGATGGGGCGTCCCTTGCTAATGATATTTATAAAGAAAATGAAGAATTTCACTCTGTGGCTTAGATGTTAAATGCGATCTTCAAGAGATGGTGCAAAAATACTGTTGGTAGCCACTTACTTCCCAGGAGACAGTTTAATCTTGGCTAGATCATTATTTGATGATGAATTCCTCATTTAATCTTTGATAGAATATAATGCGTTTATCTTTGTCCTTTTGATTTTCGATTGATTTTCCATGAGCTTATTAGATATTTAGGTTTGGAGTACTTAGTGCATCGATTTTGATTCATTACAAATTGTAATTAGTTAGCAGGTGAAATATTTGCCGATAGATGACACCAATTTTTGCATCCTAGAAGTGGTTCTAATTCTGTAGAACTCTTAAGGTATGTTGCTTATAATGATCACTTCTTGTGCACACAACCAAAGAATTGGTGACAGGTGAAATTGGATCTTTGGAAAGAATAGCACAACCAATTATTTCTGAAGAAGCTTTAGAAACTTAAATGATTAGCAA